TAAGTATATAAAATTTGGTATATAAAATTAATTGTAAACACATTTTAAAAGCTATAAAATGTGTTTTATTTTCTTAATTTTGCAGATTTCAGTTGTCCTTTGTTTCATTCTAATGTTTGGAAATCCTGTGTACTTATCTTCTTATTATTCATCATCTTTGTTAATGACATGGGTAAGTGTTACACTCATGATTGTATATTTTTTAATCCATCACACAACAGATTTACCCATCTAATGCATGATGAGTATTCACACGATACGATTTTCTTAAGTAAAATTTTTTCTTGATTTTATCAATAAAAAATAATATAATGCAAGCTTGATCTTTTTAAGAAATTTCTTACTTGGATAATTAAAAATTATTAGAACTTACTAGAACTTAGTTTTGAATATGCCACAATTTATTTTTAAATTAACATATTGTTCCTAGTCATTTTAGTAGCATATGTCTTTTATTTTTTTTCCAGGTGACCTTGACTCTTTTTTCCCTTTTTATTTCATGTGATTTGAACAATTGTTACAACAAACTGATTTTTCATTCACTCATTTACACAGATTTATCCTACTTCCCCCACCTCATTCCATTATGCATGTCCTGTTCCATATTGTTAATTGCATTACTTGAAATGTTTGACCATCTATTCTTTTTAAATTGACTTTAATTTCACACATTCAAATATCATATTCACTGTCTATTCATTTTTTCCCTCCTTGCTGCACCATCTTCCCCAAACCCCCTGTTTTTAAAACAGTGGTCTTATGCAGTGTTTGTCCTTTCGTTTCTGAGTTATTTCACTTGGCAAAAGTCCTCTAGACTCAACCAGGTACAGTGTTTTGCAAGTCCTTCAGTGTTTTCAGAGCTGCATAATACTCCATTGTGTGAATGTACCATGGTTTCTCTATTCATTTGTTTGTTGATGGAAACTTGAGCTACTTTCCTCTGCTTGCTATTATGAATAATGTTGCAATAAATGTAGGGGTGTATACTAATGTTCGTGTCCTGGCTCTGGTTTCTTTAGGATATATTCCTAGGAGTTGAAAAGCTGGATCAAATACTATTTCTGTTTTCTGAGGAAGTGATAGACTTCCTTCTATAGTGATTATACTCTTATATTCCCTCCTGTAGTGCTTGAGAGTTCCAATCTCTTCACATCCTTACCAGCATTTGTTGTTTGCTGTCCTGTTGAACTGGACCACTGTTGCTGGGGTGAGGTGATATCTCATTGTTTTCTTGATCTGCATCTCTCTAGTGATCATGAGCTTTTTTCCATTTGTTTTTTGGCCATCTACATCCTGCCTTTTTTTAAAAAAAAATGTAGTATTTTTAAAATTGTTACTCCTAAGTGCTACGTAATATTGCATTGTGTAAATGTACCACATTTTCTCAATCCATTCAGTGATAATTGGACAGTTTCCATGTTATTGTGATGGTAAATATTGCTACTATGAACATTGATGTGCAAATATCCATTTGTGTCTTAGTTCTAATTTCCTTGGGGTATAATCCTAGTAGTGGAATAGCAGGATCATACAGAATGTCTACGTTCAACCTTTAAAAAAATTTTTTTTATTATTATTATTTTGTGTGTGTACCGTCAAATCAGATCTGACTAGTACAGGAGGAGATTGTTCCTCTTTCTCCAGCATAGCATCTGGTGGATTTGAACCGTGTACCCCTAGGATTGCAGTACACCTTCTTGCCACTAGACCACCAGAGCTCGCCACATTCAACCTTTTGAGGAACCATGAAACTGCCTTCTAGAGTTGTACCATTTTTCAATCCCACCAACAATGTATGAGAGCTCCCACCTCTCCACATCCTCTCTGACATTTATTACTTGTGTCCCTGCTAAACTTTGCCACTTCTCCTGGCGTGAAATGGTATCTCATTGTGGTCTTGTTTTGCGGCTCTCTTTTTGCCAGTGATTTGGAGCATTTCTTCCTGTGTCTGTTGGCCTCCTGAACGTCTTCCTCTTTGAAAAGTCTTTCTATGTCTCTTGCCCATTTTGTAACTGACTTCTCAGTCTTCTTCTTCTGGAGGCTCAGGAGAATTCTGTACACTTTTGTTATGAGACACTTGTTTGAGATGGTATTGCCAAATGGTTTTTCACTATGGGAAGAGTGTCCAGACCTTGGAATTACAGTACAGGCTCAAGCAAAAATCTTTCTCTGAAGTTGGTACATGAGATTTGGACTAACATCCTCCTAAAGCAGGAGATGGAGAATAGCATGAGAAACCAGTAGCAGTGTGTAGTGCAAGGCAACACAGACGTGACTGGTGTTCCTATTGAGAGATGGCTGGGGAAGGGAGGGTTTGACTACGTAGCAGGTTCTACTAGGAATAGCGAGGTAGCAGGGGAAAAGTAGAGACTAGTCATACATGCTTGGAGTGTGTGGGCAGTGAATGTATTGGTTATTTCTGTAAGGGAATTATCTTCCACCTGCCAGGTAAAATACTTGTCTGTCAACTATTCTTATAATAGCGAACATCCAAATTCAGACAGACAAGGAAGAAGGATTGGCCATCCACTTCTGAAATATAACTGGCCTTTGAAAACCCTATGTACAGCAGAGCACACTTACAGTAGAGTAACAGATAGGGCAACTGAAGTTGAGCCCTCAAATTTGGAAACACAAAGGTGGAGAAACAGTTGTAAGAAGAAATTAACAATTGGTATGTGGAATGTGAGAAGCATGAATGTAAGAAAACTGGACATTGTAAAGAAAGAAATGGTACACATAAATACTGATATATTGGGTTTTAGTGAAATGAGATGGATTGGCATGGGTCATTTTGAATCCCGCGATCATATGATCTATTGTGCTGGAGATGAAAAGGTGAGGAAAAATGGGATCACTTTCATAGTTAAAAAGGCCATTTCTAAATCCATCTTGAAATACATTATTGTGAGTGACAGGATAAATATCCATATGCATACAAGGAAGACCTGTTAATACACCAGAGCCAAAGAGGAGGATATAGATGATTTCTATCAACTGTTGCAGTCAGAAATTGACCAAACATGTAACCAAGATGCTTTAATAATAATTGATGACTGGAATGCAAAAGTTGGGAATTAGGAAGAAGGATCATTAGTCAGAAAGTATGGACTTGGTGACAGAAATGAGGCTGGGAATAGAATGATAGAATTCTGTACAATGATTTATTCATAGCAAATACCTTTTATAAGAAACATAAACACAGGCTATACATATGGATTTCACCTGATGGGATAAATAGGAGTCAGATTGAGTACACCTGTGGAAGAAGCCATTGGAGAAGTTCAATATCAGCAGTGAAAACTAGTCCAGGTGCTGATTGTGGAGCAGACCATCATATGACCACTTACTCATATGCAAGTTCAAATTAAAACTAAAGAAGGTTAAATCATATCTGCAGGAATAAAAATTTGACCTTGAGTCTATCACCTATGAATTTAAAAACCAACTCAGGAATAGTTTTGAGGCCTTAAACACTAATGAATGAAGACCAGATAAGCTGTGGGAAGATATCAAGAATGCCATTCATGAAGAATGCAGAAAGTTATTACTAAGAAGGAAGAAGGAAAGACTAAAGTGGATGTCAGAAGAGACTCTGAATATTGCACTAGAGCTCCAAGAAGCCAAAGCAAAGGGAAGAAATCAAGAAGTTCAGGAGCTGAGTAGAAGATTTCAAAGGGCTGCTTAGGAAGACAAGGCAAAATATTATAATGAAATGCAATGAGCTGGAGTCAGAAAATAAAAAGGAGTGAACTCGCTCAGCATTTCTTAAGCTGAAAGAACTAAAGAATAAATTCAAGCCACTAGTTACAATACTTAAGGATGATTTGGGCAGGATATTGAATGATTCAAGAAGCATTAAAAGCAGGTGGAAGGAGTACACAAAGTCATTATACCAAAAAGAATTGGCTGACACAGAATAATTTCAAGAAACAACATATGAACATGAGGCAATGGTGATGAAGGAGGAAGTGCAGGCTGCTTTGAAGGACTTGGCAAAAAACAAAGTCCCAGGAATTGATAGAATACCAATTGACATATTTCAGCAAACGGATGCTGCCCTGCATCTGCTCACCAAGTTGTGCCAAGAAATCGGGAGGAGAACTTGGCCAACTGACTGGAAAAGATCCATATTTATTCCTATTCCAAAAAAAGATGACCCAACAAGAGTGTCGCTATGAGTTGTGAACGACTCGACGGCACATAACAAACAAGAGTGTGGAAATTATTGAACAATATCACTGATACACACTAGCAAAATTTTGCTGAAGAGTATCCAGAAAAGACTTGAATAGGACATTGACAGGGAACTACCAGAAATATGGGCGGGGTTTAGAAGAGGTTGTGTCACTGGGGACATTATTGCCAGTGTCAGATGGCAGAAAGCAGAGTACCGGAATAATGTCTATTTGTGTTTCATTGACTATGCATAGACTGTCTGAATCGCAATAAATTGTGGTTAACCTTGAGGACAATGGGAATCTCAGAGCATTTGATCATGCTTATAAGACATCTATACTTGGCCTAAGAAACAGTCCTCAGGATAGAGCAAGGAAACACCACATGTTTCAAAATCAAGAAAGGAGTGCATCAGAGATGCATCCTGTCCCCATATCTTTCAACCTGTATAAAGAACAGAAAATTTGGGAATCAGGGCTTTATGAGGCGGCTTCTGGCATCAGGATTGGAGTAAGGCTCATTGGCAACCGAAGATATGCCGATGACACATCCTTGCTTGCTGAAACTGAGGAGGACCTGAATCACTTGCTGCAAAAGGTCAAGGACTGTAGTCTTCAATATGGATTGAAGTTTAAAATCAAGAAGACAAAGATTCCCACCACTGGGCCAATTGGCAGCACCATATTAAATGGAGAAGAGATTGAGGTTGCTAACAATTATAGCTTGCTTGGATCCACAATCAACATTCTTTTTTAAATTTTATTATATTGTGTGTGTATCGTCAATTCGGATCTGACTGGTACAGAAGTAGATTGCCCCTGCTTCAATCTGATGGATTTGAACTGCGCACCTCTGTGATTGCAGTGTAGCTTCTTGTCACTAGGCTACCAGAACTGCCTCACAATCAACACTCTGAACACCAGCAGTCAGGAAATCAGAAAATGAATTGCTTTGGGAAAATCTGTCATGGAACTCTTCAGTGTGCTGAAGAGC